GGTTCACTCTTCTATTATCTCCAAGACACGATTTTTCCCGACACTAGCGGCACTAGTGCCACGAAAGCAAAGACATCTAACACCCTTATGTGATCTCAGTGCCATCTGTTGAGTTCAAATTGAAATTGTTGTGATGTGCGGTTGATTATGAAACATTAGAGGAACATACCACCTACCTACCTACCATAATACCACCTCGATACGGCCACTTTCCAGCGAAAGCAGCCGTCGGCATGTAGTGCCAATTAAAAAATTCACCGTCAGCCAGCACTAGCCACCACAACATTATGAGTGCCTCGGCGCTATCATTCCCAGTAACCGGTTCGGGAATTTTTCCGCCGGTGAAGTTCGTCGTCAACAGCAAAGTCGAGATGCATCTCCACCGGCACCATTACTCCAAGAGACAGTATTCCAAAATTGGTGTGGGGAGGGAGGCGTGGATCTCCGGAGGGGAAGAGAGTGGGTCCAGTCACGAGTGTCTTACACCCTTTTTCTCCTCCTAGAATCCAGCCGTTTCTCCTGCACTAACACACACAGATCATCATCATCGTCTACGACAAGCCACCGTGATGCCATAAAATGCTTTGTATTGCAGTGGAACATACGTGGCTTACACACCCAATATCAGCGAGCTCAAACTGCTCATCGGCCGCATGAACCATCCGTAATAGCTTTGCAGGAGACTGCGTTATCGCACCGGACTTCGCCGAATATAACTACACTTTGCTCCTTGAAACCGGTAGCCGTCGATATTGGCAACAGGGAGTGAGTCATGCAATCTGCGAAGGAGTACCCTTCGAACGCATCGAAATCGACTGCGGCCTCCAAGTTATTGCAGTTCGGATCCATCTTCCGATACCATTAACGGTGGTGTCGATATACATCCCTCCCAGTTCCCAACAATGTCATACCGAGCTAGACAACTTGTTTGTTTGTTACTTGGCGATTTCAATGCCTGGGGCTCCACATCTCCGAATGCACTTGGCCACTTCATCGCTGAGAAATCGCTGACTGACCAGCTGATTATCCTGAATGATGGATCGCACAGTCAGATTGACCCAGCAACCGGTTCATCTTCAGCCATACACCTCTCGATCTGTTCCTAAATGCTCTCGGACACACACCCAGTAGCGATCACTTTCCGATCACAGTTTTCTCACCTGAATACGCACAGGTCACAACGAAGCGAAGAAGATGGCTCTACAATCAAGCGGACTGGACATCCTTTGAACAGCTGACCGCCCAGCTGTACCCCCATGTTTGTCTTTTTCATCAGAGTGTCGCTTAGTTCGAGAACAAGAGCACATTGCTCTCCAAACCTTGTGTTCACAATCCCTACCCTGCCATCCATTTGTTACAATTTGTTGCCCCTAACCTCGAGATAGCCGCGAGTAATCGGCCCCCGATTTACTAACGTTAGTTTTAAGTAATTTTGTAATCTAAACAATGAATATCGGCTCCGCAGAGCTACAGCAAATGAGCCTGGAAAAATAAACGCATTGTTAAAAAAAAAAAGCTGACCGGGTGATAAAATTGGAGGGGAAGAGGTCCATGGTGGTGCCCGGAGATTCCCGGAGCCCCATAGCAGTTCAACAGCGTCGAAAATGACTGAGAGCACTAAAGCGCACCAGAGCACCGGGAACAGATACAGCGGAAGTCCTGAAAAAGTTCCAGGAAGCGAAGGTAGCAGCCAAGAAGGTAATGAACGATGCCAAGTGTCGATCGTGAGAAGAATTCGTCGGGAAAATATCTCCAAGCAGTACTACGGCAGAAATGTGGCAGACGGTCAACACTTTGAGAGGCAAGTGACAGCACAGCAGAGCTGTCAGCAAACGATCCGACGGGTACACGGATAATGCGGAAGAAGTGGCAAAAGAACTGGCTAAGAACTACTGTGACAGATCGGCGACCTCTAGCTATCCTTCATTGTTCCTATTGGCGAAGGAAAAAGCGGAACGGAATCGTGTTGCTTTTCTACCAGACACCAACGATGCATATAACTCGGACTTCACCCTGAACAAGCTTCTGTGGGCAGTCGACAAAGGACGTAGTGTTTCTACAGGTCCCGACTCGATAGGGTATCCGATGCTCCGACGACTTCCTCTATCCGTCAAGACTGCGCTACTAGAGCTGCTCAACAGAGTATGGCACAGCGGTGTTTTTCCGACCAGCTGGCGAACTGGAATAACAGTACCAATCCTCTGGCCGTGCCGCTTTCCGACTCATTACACTAACGTGTGTGTATGTATCGAAGAATCTTAAGGAAACACATGAACTGAGAAGGCGATGAAGAGAAAACAAAAAAAGACGTAACGAATGAAACGTGGTGAAGAAGACGAACAACGAAGGAAAACGGGATGGAAGCTGATGAAGAGGAGGGAAAAAAAAGTAGAAACTGAGAAGATGATGGAGAGGAAACATAAGAAGACCGAGCAGAAGAAGATTAATAGAATTCTAACTGCGTGAAAATCAATGGAAAAGGCAAAGATGCGGATGAAGAAGGCGAACCAGAAGAATATCCGCAGAAAGCAAGAACAAGACACGGATTCAAAGCGAAATAAGAAAATTACGAAGGAGGTGTAAATAAGAGAGAAGCAATTGAAGAAAAACAAGCAAAAGAAGAAGAGAAGACGAATATAAGGATACAGACGAAGCGAAGCGGAATCGCATTTGGAACAAACCGAAAACGTGGCGGATAGTAAGAAACGCACGAAGGCTACGAAAAAAACAAAGATGATGAAAAAAGAAGATAATGAAAAGATAGAAGAGGTAAAGGTGAATTTAATAGAGAAGAAGACGTGAAAACAAAAGATGAAATGCAATTACGATGCAGACGATGAAACGAAATCAGAAGGAGAGGAAACGAGCAAAGGAGACAAAAACTAAGTGAAATTTGAGTTGTATTATAAACACTAACAATCATACCCACACACTATTACACTCAAACATTGAAACAGACACGAATGCATCCACCGGATGTAAAATGTCTTAAATAAACAACAACAACAACAACAACAACAACAACAACAACAACAACAACAACAACAACAACAATAACAACACGATCTGTTTGTGCTTTTCCGGAGAAATGCTTCGCAAAATTGTAAAGAACCGACACTTGCAATACACGAAACTGTTGGTCGAAATGTAAACAATGATTCAGCGTGATCATCAGCTGTTTAAACGTCATCTGAAACAAGCGGGGGTGTTCCAAAGTCGTGCTTAGACATTCTGGGACACCCTATGTTCACCGTTCCAATTTAATCTCAATAATCAATTAAACGTATAGTTTTTTCCGAGTCGTGATGTGTTTGAAGCGTCACATCATATGAATCCATTACATCTGTACATATATGGTTGAGAACAGATTCTGAAGGAGCTGATACGAGATCCACAAACGGCAATATGACTCTCGAAGAAACCTGAGATGAGCATTGTTTGCTTACCACATGAAAGTTTTTCTCGAGAAAATTTGTTTTAGAACCGATTCTGGTGGGCCCGGAATGAACTCATGATCGTTCTATGATCTCCCAACCTGATTTGGATCATATGATTTCCAAACTGGGATGAAGAATGAGATTAGCAAAATTCGCTTTCTTTTTTTCCTTGATTTGTTTTCCGTCGAACTCGGTCAACTGTAAACACTGTAATACGTCAGTAAATATCTTGATAAATAGCTGGTCAAATAACCATTTCGTAGTATTTGGTCAAATATTTGCCAAATATCAGACAAGTGTAATGACTGAGGTAAACAAATATGGCAAATAGCAATATTTGGCAAAACTTAACGAGTCAAATATTTGACGTGTGGGCAAACAGTGAAACAAGGCGGACTTTGTACTACCCTTTCACTCAACCGAAAATTCTTATAAGAAACTGTCAATCTTTTCTAGAAGAGACGATTATTCAACGGTGGTTTCAATGTCATCCTCGATGGAGCAACCCGGGTCTTGTTCCTATTAACAAGATATAACACGTAAAAAGGACTAAGATGTGTTCCTTTGATTACTGATAAATCCTGTTCCCCACGGTTGAAGTAGTCAGGACTAGGGTTCGGTGGTAGATCTTACACCGTAACAGACCACCAAGTGGTGATCTACCCGCGTATCATGGAACAGAACTTATGTTCAATATTCATTGGAATTGAACCTGGAAACCTCCTCACAATCGTCATTGAATTCTCCACAGAACTACAAACACATCTCTTTTTAACAATTACATTGGGATTCTTCCGACATTTGCCGTGGAGTTCTGGTTGAAACTATGCCTAGAATTACTTCTACTTCGCATTTCAAGCTTTTTGCTGATCGCATATTAGCTTATTGCGTGATCTCAACTCAGTATTCTAGATGCACTTCCACGGTTATGAATTGAGAGCATTCGATGCCTGTACCATTTTTGCATTTAGTATAATTGTGTGGCAAGTATAATCATACTCTATGCCCAGGGAAGTCGAGAAATTTTTCAACCCGAAAAATCCCTAGACCGGACCGGAAATCAAGCATGTTCTTGCTTTGTAGCTGCGCCTTTGCCGAGTGAGCTAAGGAAGGCCCCAGAATTCCTTCTAATTTACCTCAAATTGCATTAAAATTCACTTCTGAATTCCCATAAAATTTATCTAAATTCAATGTGAAAGAATCGTGGAAATCCATTTTTTCCCACTTTCCCGGATCACTGCTCACCCTGATTTCGTCGCTTCCATCACATCTCACACACCCACTATCACTACAATTCCTCCCCCAGTCATTCATGAGCCAACATCTGCACTCTGGTTCGTTTCAAACCACGCAAAACAAACCGGCAGACAACCATTGATCAACTATCAACACCCTCCAAACCGCAGCAGCACATCAGCGATCATCGCCCGGCCCAACCTCTGCCGTGAGATGTTCGTAGCCACGCGGCCTTCAAGGTTGAACAATTCCGCCGGCTGATGATCGTGCTTCTTCGTCGCGAAGGTGAAAGTCACTTACCCGCACCCGGTCCGGTATAATCGTGATTCAAAAGTTCAACAACAACGTTACTAGCATTACCGTTAGGGTCATACTCCAGTGACGTACCTGTAATGGACAAAGAGAGAGAGAGAGAGATTGTAAGGAAACATGTTTAGACAATCTTTGATGAGTTTCTTGTACATCTTGATCGTGCAGATAACTTCCGCTTGATCAAAAGGCAAATGAAGTGGGCCGCCGGGTGGTGGGCGCGTGCGAAATTAATCAAGCGATCTCCCATTCAACTTTAAACAGCTCTCGTGAGGCTCTCAGAGACCTCAACAAGTTACTCTCGTAGAGACTCCCGAGAGCAGCCGCCGCCGAATGATGCGTGGAGAATGGAAGAAAAATAAGGAAATGATTAGCGCGGGCGCACGCGTTCATGCTCCATTCAGCACAGCCGCAGAACACAGAACTGGGTCCGCAGCGTCGCGAGCAATTTCAATATCAAGCCGATGTCCTTCACCTTTTGTTGCGGCAAACTGACGACGACGACGACGACGACGCGACTGGTTCTGATCATGTACTACATTACTTTGTAGTGCCGTACCTAGCTATATTCGTCGATAAGGTGAGCGCACACTTTGCACATGTGTGAGTAATTGCTGAAATTATGGGTGATTAATCGATCGGTTCGGTGATCAATTAGCGGATCGGACGTGGCAGTGGCCTAGTAAATGGAAGCGAGCAAGCTTAGGCCGAACCAATCGGTAATTTTGCGCGGAAAATTGTTCACCGCAACTGATCCGGTTGTACAAGGGATTTTTAAAAAATATTTGGATTCCCCCGCGTTCTGCGGGAGGGTCAAGTGGCGATTAAATTTGAGAGAGATTAGGAATTCCATACGGGCAGGTTTGAATTTGTTTGTTTACAAGCACGGGGTATTCATGACACTTATAAACAAGACCTTCAGTGGGTTCTCTCACGTGAAACGTGACACCAATTATCTACAGGGATTTGCGAACATAAGGATAGCCATTCGTTACAGTCGCACAATGGACCGATCTAAGAAAAAATACGTCAAAACCATTTTTATTTAACGTCGGTCTCTGTTCCGTAATCGTGGGCCGATCATCGCCGAGCGTTGATTCCCAATTAGCGGTTAATCACCGTAGGCAATCTTGTTCCAGGAAGGTGATCTTCACTCCTGGATCTATCGAACCCATCAACACATGGGCCGTGACCACCGGATTTACTGCCCTTCCGAAGGAAGACGTGACCAGAGATTTTTTTTTACCAGACCTCCACTGGAATTGAAACCAGACACTCTGGGGTGGAGGGGGGGAAACAGCTCATCTGGATGAGCGGTTCTGATCCGTCCAGCTCACTAAGGGGTGCCAATTCTTTTGAACAGCTCTTCAGCTCACATTTATTTAATAGATGTTTTGACACAAATTCAAAATCCAAAATGAAAAATCGGAAAAGAAATAACGGGTGTCCACCAAAAAATTTAAATGAAAAGAAAGGGGTCGGTAAAAAAAACACCAGTGATTGTTATTCTTCATATGAAGGGTTAACTTAAGTCTTCAAACTGAGCTTAGTGAATATTGGCATACACGGACCGTAGTCATTGATATAGGAACATGACCGTTGGACGGCTGCCACATCGATTTTCCGGATGCAGCTTTTGATCCTGTTGGTGAGTTGCTTGGTGTCCTTGGCCTTCCAATTATCCTTGTATACCATGGAGGTCAATAGACCGAAAAACTCCTCGATAGGACGGCACTGCGGCAGATTTGTCGGATTCCGGTCTTTTGGCACATATGGTATATTTTGGCTTTCCGCCGTATTTCCAGGTTATACAGCCCGCTTGGAAGTTTGCTTTTACCGTTGATGCTATCTTAGTAGGCGCATGAGGTATTACGCGCGCATCTTGGTTTACGCGGTGGCTGTTCAATCCATAAGTGACGCAGTGAGTCCTTAAAAAAAAAAGTCCCGCTGTAAGCGATGGATTGATTCAATGGTTTAGACTTGTGATATCAGTGAGCTGATGAGGTGCGGTTCCTAAAAAAATTAGCTACGGGTCATCAGCTCACTCTAGTGAATCGGGTCTTTAGAACAGCTCGAAAACGATTCGCCCATCTCTAATCTGGGATGAAGAAGCAGTACCGTAAAACGGTTCCACAGCGTTCAATTTTTGTTTCATAACAATTCGTTTACATGAAATTGTTATTAGATAACCTTACAAACGATACATTTTATCACTCTAAATTTAAAATTTTGTGGAAGTGATAAGTTTCACCTGTTCCTAAGCATCCTTATTCTGGTGCTGTGTTCGACGCAATCAATTATTTCACTTAATTTTCAGTCGCTGGATCCGAATCCGAAATCAGTTTTCTTAAAAATTAACTATTTCGTATCATATTCATGGTTTTATGTAATAAAAACTGATGTTAATTGCCTACATTTAGGCGAATTTTAATTTTTTTGTTTTTTAGATCAACAACTTTTTTTTTAAATTTTCACCAGATTCTTTTTAGTGAAAACAAATCAAGTATGAAAACATCCTCTGAATGTTGCTTGAATGAAAATACTTCTAAAAATAAACCAAACATGTGCTTCAACATCTAATTTCGTACATTAGAAGAGCATTTGCTAGTAAAGGGTGTCCACGATGAAATTGCCACACTATGAAATTGCTCTAACTTTTTAACCGTTGGGTAGAATTTAATGAAAATTTGGGTGGATTTAGTTCATAGTGCATTATTTACATCCTGCAAGTTTTAAAGTCCTGTGATCAAAACTCGCGGAAATGGAGTCGAAAGAACAGCTCGTGCGTGATAAAATCTTGCGCATTCATCACGAGAACAAGGATCTCTCGCATCGTTCCATCGCTAAAATGTTGGGAATCGCGAATTCCACGGTGTCGCGAGTGATTAAGCGGTTCGAGGAACGGTTGACCACCGATCGGAAGCCCAGAAGTGAAGGAAAAAGTATTCCGTACAACACCAAAAATCACAACCGCGTAGTTGGGGCCTTCAACCGAAATCCGAACGCCTCCGTTAGGGATGTGGCTAAGAAGCTGCACCTAAGCCGAAGTTTTGTCCAGAAGGCCAAAACTAAGGCTGGGCTTCGAACGTTCAAGGTACAAAAGGCCCCTAATCGCGACGAGAAGCAGAACAAGTCCACCAAAACCCGTGCCAGGAAGTTGTACCTCAACATGCTGACGAAAGTTGAATGCTGCATCATGGACGACGAAACATATGTGAAAGCCGACTTCAAACAGATCCCCGGCAACCTGTTTTTCATGGCCAAGGATAAGTTCAGCGTTCCGGAGCATGTCCGCACTCAGATGATGTCCAAATTCGCGAAGAAATTCCTGGTTTGGCAAGCCATCTGCACGTGCGGGAAGCGGAGTGCACCTTTCGTGACCCAGGACACGATGAACGGACAGGTGTACATAAAAGAGTGCCTCCAGAAGCGGCTGCTTCCTCTCCTGAAGGCCCACAACGTCCCAACAATCTTCTGGCCGGATTTGGCCTCATGCCACTACTCCAAGGACGTGCTGAAGTGGTATGCGGACAATAAGGTCAATTTCGTGCCGAAAATGTTCAACCCTCCCAACACTCCGGAGCTCCGCCCCATCGAGAAGTACTGGGCGATTATGAAGCAGCACCTTCTTAAACGACCTAAGGTAGTGAAGACAGTCGAGGAACTGAAGAAAGTATGGGTTTACATGCAAAAAACGGTTGATTCACAGGTTGTGCAGAATCTTATGGCCGGGGTTAAGGCCAAGGTGCGGGCATTTGCGTATGGACTGTAAATAAAATACGAGTAAAATGGTAAAATGAAGTTTAATAGTTATTTCTCAATCCCTGAAAATTTGATGGCAATCGGATGAAAACTCGAATTTTGCGAATCAATTTTGTGTGTGGCAATTTCATCGTGGACACCCTTTACAGGTAGGCGAAATGGCTCTAATGTTGGCCTATGGATCTAATATTGGGCCCATGGACATTACATCCATTTCCCCTATCTGAGTTATTTGTGCCATATGATTTTACATAGTGCTTTCCCGATTTTGTCAGCCTGCAGATATCACTAAATTTTTGAGTTTTTAAACATGGATTCTCAAACTCTACGCTATGAATAATTGTTATTCTTACACTGCGCTGTAATGTGAATGTTAGGGGAAACGGGGGTTAAATGTGCATACGTGGTAAAATTAACAATTGACGATTTTAAGTGCTTTTTCATTCAAATATCAATCAATTCAACGCACAGGTCTTACATCCAATGTACCTTTTACATTTAATTCATTTACTTTAATATAATATATTCCTACTAGGAATTATTAATTTTGAATTGCTGTTTGCTGGAAAATCATTTTTACCACGGAAAACCTGTTTCTTTTTTGCAATTGTAAAAAAACATTGCTTCAATGTCAGAAACATTTATGATTAGAAAATAAAAAAAGAGCAATACATATTGAATTGTACAGAAAAGTTTTGATTGACTTTCAATTTTCAAGAGATTTCGTCATCGCAAATTCTCGAATTCAACGGAGATAAATAACATCGTCAGTTGAAAGGGACAATGCTTCAACCTAATCAGCCCTATCAGCGTTTGTTTTGGATTGTCGGAGAGGCAGTTCGGATTCCGGAAAGGGAGATCAACGGTGGATGCAATTCGGACAATGGTCGAGAGAGCCAAGAAGTCGTCCAAACAGAAGCGCAAAGGAGATCGATATTGCACCGTGATAACGAATGATGCATAGAATGAGGGTCCCTGACTACCTGTGCAGGATTCTCAGGAGTTACTTCCAGAGCCTGGTTCTGGTCTACGAGACAGATATGGGACAGAGATCGATTAGAATCAGAACGGGAGTTCCACGATGACCGACTAAACTTCAACAGCCACGTCGAATATGTCTGTGAGAATGCTTGGAAGGCCATCAATTAATTAATTAATTTAGCTTTATTTAGGAGGCTTTCAGCCGGAAGGCCATCAACACAATAGCTAGAATCATGCTGAACAACTCTATTCCTAGCAATATCAAGAGACGTCTTCTGACTAGATACTGAGGTATGGAGCTCCAAACTGGTTTGCAGCACTGGAAACGAAGCAGAACCAAAGGAAACTGAGCAGTACATTCTGGCTCATAGCCATGCGCGTCGTGAGTGCGTACAGCACCATCTCATCGGAAGCAGCGAGTGCTACAGTCGGAGAGAAGCCGGTAGAGTATGGAAAGTGGTGAAAGCGGAGTCTTGGGCAAAGTGGCAATAGGAGTGGAACACGGTGGATAACGGTAGATGGACACATCGGTTATTACCGATTCTTTCGATCTAGGTGAACAGAAAACACGGAGAAGTCAACCACCACCGGACGCAGTTCCTGTCTGGCCACGGTTGCCTCAGGGAATACCTGCATCGGTTCGGACACGCAGCGTCACCCCTCTGTCCGGAGTGTGGCAACGTGGATGAAACGCCGGAGCATGTGGTCTTCGACTGTCCAAGGTGCGAGACAGTGCGAAGGGAGATGCCTGTCGTCGATGAAATGTGTCCAGAGGAAGGCACTTGGAATGGAGAGAGGAGCAGCGATCTAGCAACTTCAGCTAGCACTGAGAGTATGAGAAGTGCCAGCCCCCTCGAAGTAGTCGCTTCAGCGTGGTCCCGGGGGGATCCAGGCAGAGGAGAGAGTAAGGAATGAGCTTTAGTGGAGCTACACTAGGCAACTAGTGGATACCACCCCGTGCTAACTTCAATACAGGTCTGGCTTTTTGACCCACCCACCACCCCCCCTCCCGATATTCTCTGCTTTGAAAGTTGATACATACCGTGCCGATTCAAATTTCGGACACTTAAACTCGAATTTCGGACACTTTTAAAAGTTGATTATCTCGGTCGAATATGATCCACATGTCTTGTAAATTTTAAATTTTTTTGACTAGTACCCTCCACGATCATCTAACATTATTACTTTGTTTCTAACTGGATGTAATATTTAATTAAAAATGAAAGTGTCCGAAATTTGAATCGTCCGAAATTTGAATCGTCCGAAATTTGAATCGGAACGGTATTTCATTATCGTCAAAGGAAAATTGATTCAATAATTCTTATTATTTGATGGTTTAGAAGAGTTCTTACAAATAATAGCCATATGTAGGACAAAGTGGGGTAAAACGCACCCTGGCGTTATATAATCAATAGCGTTTTTTTTCTCGTACTACTAAAAGACTAATTAATATAAACAATTTCCCAAATGACTGTTCTGCAGCTCTTCTAGTGATTATGGGTGAAACTCCACTAAATTTCTTTTGCAAAACACGTAAATAAGCGCTGTTGGTAATATTATCCCATAGCACCCAATAGCAGGATTTCATTATTCTCTAATAGTTTTGATCCAAAAAATAATGGGAATTTTTTTCCGATTTGGTCAGTTTCCCGTTTTTGTCAGCCTAAAATTTGAGAAGGGACTGACAAAATCGGAAAAGCACTGTATTCAAGTTTACCGATAAAAAGTGATCAACTGACCCCCTTTTTACGGTAACCTTTTTGACATTTTAGAGGTTAGTTGTCTTCTAAGTAGATTTTTTGTTAAGCTAGGATTACACAACCAAATTCTAACTTTCTTATTTTTTTTAGATAATAGTTTCATGGCCTCATTAAATTTGTAGAAATATTAATTTTATTATATTTTCCTGACGATCCCACATTTCATAGATAAAGATACATAACTGGTTTTCCGCAAGAAAAACATAAAACATTTCTTGAGGTATTTACCATTCTATTCCTCGGAGTCGAAGTCGGAGTCGAAGTCGAAGTCGAAGTCGAAGTCGAAGTCGAAGTCGAAGTCGAAGTCGAAGTCGAAGTCGAAGTCGAAGTCGAAGTCGGTGTTGAAGTCGGAGTCGAAGTCGAAGTCGGAGTCGAAGTCGAAGTCGAAGTCGAAGTCGAAGTCGAAGTCGAAGTCGAAGTCGAATTCGAAGTCGATGTCGAAGTCGAAGTCGAAGTCGAAGTCGAAGTCGAAGTCGAAGTCGAAGTCGAAGTCGAAGTCGAAGTCGAAGTCGAAGTCGAAGTCGAAGTCGAAGTCGAAGTCGAAGTCGGAGTCGAAGTCGGAGTCGAAGTCGAAGTCGAAGTCGAAGTCGAAGTCGAAGTCGAAGTCGAAGTCGAAGTCGAAGTCGAAGTCGAAGTCGGAGTCGAAGTCGGAGTCGAAGTCGGAGTCGAAGTCGAAGTCGGTGTTGAAGTCGGAGTCGAAGTCGGAGTCGAAGTCGAAGTCGAAGTCGGAGGCGAAGTCGGAGGCGAAGTCGAAGGCGAAGTCGGAGGCGAAGTCGGAGGCAAAGTCGGAGGCAAAGTCGGAGTCGAAGTCGAAGTCGAAGTCGAAGTCGAAGTCGGAGTCGAAGTCGGAGGCGAAGTCGGAGTCGAAGTCGGAGGCGAAGTAGGAGGCGAAGTCGGAGGCGAACTCGGAGGCGAAGTCGGAGGCGAAGTCGGAGGCGAAGTCGGAGGCGAAGTCGGAGGCGAAGTCGGAGGCGAAGTCGGAGGCGAAGTCGGAGGCGAAGTCGGAGGCGAAGTCGGAGGCGAAGTCGGAGGCGAAGTCGGAGGCGAAGTCGGAGGCGAAGTCGGAGGCGAAGTCGGAGGCGAAATCGGAGGCGAAATCCGAGTCGGAGTGTTAATCGGTGTCGGAGTCGTAGTCGAAACCGAAGTCCGAGTCGGAATCGAAGTAGGAGTCGAAGTTGGAGTCGAAGTCGTGAATAATTTCAATACAAAGTAGTGAATAATTTTAATATAAGCTATCGTTTATTTCGTTAAATATTGCGATCAACTTCATTAGAAGTTGTGACCAATTTTGGTTTATAGAAATTACGACCAATCTTTTTTAAAAGTTTGACGGTGGAGTTTGTTATCTTTTTCAATTAATTTCATTAACAGTTGCGGCTAATTGCTGTGATAAAAATAATGATCATTTTATTTGGAAATTGTGGCAGGTGCTCATAGAAGACATGTCCATTTTTGTTTAAATTAATGAAAAGTTGAGTTAGACTCTGAGAAAATTTTCCATTGACCATTTCTTTGACCAAATTCGTTGGAAAACGTGGTTTGAAAGTAGTGACCGATTATGTTATAAGTTGGGTCGAATGCATGTAGGGAAGATGTACCAGTTATAGCTTAATTAGGGTCTGTCACCATTATATGGAAAAACGCAAACTTGACCTCATGAAGCGAGAACATCCATTTTTTGGTTTCATTTGGGGTCCCAAACAACTGTGCAAAATTTGGTGACGATTGGTTATGACTCGACTTCCCACATTGCGTTTGAAATTATTACAAGATATCCTACATTTTTGCATTTTAATCCCTATCGACCACAATTTTGCTAGAACCATGCGATTAACCACGTCCAGGGTTGTTACAAGAAATTTGAAATTAAATCCACGTCAAATCCACGCGGGCTTTATATCAAAATCGCGTAAGTCGACCGACATTAGACTTGCGCCCAGGTTCAGACGAAAACAAGAAATAACCTAAGATATATGATTGCAGGAGGACCACAAATAAAGTAAAGGAGACTTCTGTCAGCGATAAACGTTATTGTTTTGTCAATGATATAACAAGCACTTATTTTATTGAATGTATGCATCAAAACACTAATAATCTTCATTAGCATTAATTTTAGCCAATTTTTACTTTTCTTATTTTTCCTCCTGCTCAATGTTATCTTTTGCTTCAAAAGAAATTTTAGGAATGATGTTTCTGGATTATTGGATGTCATTGTTCTGATTTCTTTTTCCATCAAATTAAAAATATCTTCTTTTGCCTTTCTTTTCTTTCCGATCTCTTCTTCTTGTCTTTTAATGTGGTGTCTGACTAACTTCCTTTCTTTTTCCTTCTTTTTCTGAGCTTCCATTAACCTTCGTTCTTTTGTTCCTGCTGAAGCTAGTAAGATTTCCTCGCGAACTTGGCATTCAAAATGAAGTCCTTCGAGACAACAAATTTGGTTACATCATTATCAAAAAAATGCATGCCACTCAAAATATTTTTACGGTCATTGAAATACTGTTCACTAAGTCTAGTTTTGTTCTCTGGCATCAAATGCTTGGATAGTGAAAACTTCCTATAGACTTCTGCATTGGAATGCGATGCGCATGTTACAATGTTAAACAATGTGCTGAGTTCTGAGAAACTTCCATCTCGAAATAGAGGATCCAGAATTTCCAAATCACAATCTGAATCAAACGTTTGACATGCCAATTTCACACTTGCAAGTACGAATTATTCGTGTATCTAAGCTTTGTATAATTTGAAATCAATTATTTTTGGCTCAACGGACGATTTCCTTGATGGAATCCTTATTAATGATCCTGCGAACCTTGAAGTTACTGACAAATCGAACAAATTCATTGGGAACATCTTGGGCAAACAAATACGACACAAAAGATTTCGTGTGTTCTTTGACATTCTTATTGAATTAAGATGATTTGAATTGATGTTCAGCAGCATCAAGTATGGATTTGAAAACAGTAACTTCTGAATCCCAAAGAAAATTGTCTTCTTTTAGTTTTTTTTTCCTGATAGCTTCTGTTATTTTTCTTGGACTGTAAACTCTTGACATCATAGTGACCAAAAATGAATGAATCCTATCATATATGTTGAAAAGAATAAACTCATTCGTCTCAAGAAACTTTAGCAAATTTTCCGTCTCTTCTGCTGATCCTATCACAAAAAGAACCTGCTCTTTGATATCCGGTAGCAGTAAGATCAACTTGATGTACTTAGTTACCAACTCAACATCAGTCAGAGCTTTTGAAGTGGTGGAACTATTTAACCGCCCTGGCCCTGAGAATATATATTACCCTGGCAATGAAAATAAACAGGCTCACGGTAGTTTACTCATTCTTTGAATATGTTTTATGTTTAACTAATTGTTGGTATATTAGTATGATAATCAAATGGAGACTTATAATTAAAAAAATATTATAAAAAATTCAAACTTTATTGAACAAATCCGCGCCATAAATAGCAAATCCGCGTCAAATCCACGCCAGAGAAAATCTGATAAGCAAATCCGCGAAAATCGTGAAAACCGCGAAAATCGCGAAATCCGCGTTGTCGTGACAACCCTGCACGTCTAAGGAAATACGCTGCTACAATGTATCTAAAAAAAAGTTATAGCTATTCAAATAGCTACATCTCCTGCCAACATGAATTGCTTTTTTTGAAAAAATATACCATTATTTTAATTTAATTCAACTTAATTTAATACAGAGCTTTTTTATGAGGATTTGAATGCCTATCCCAAGCAACATTGCAAGTTTTATCGCGGTTTTATAGCATTCTACAAGCCTAAATCATGGTCTACAGAACCCTCATAAAACCTAAATTGTTACTTGGGATGTGCTTGTTTACGACACGAATCATATTCTGGTAGTTTGGGGCGAAAATAAGGGTTTTTATGTCTTGACGTGCCAGGAAAACATAATTTGTCTCTAAAACTTTATATCAAACGTCCATTGATCAGAAGTGACGTTTTCGTGCCACAATATTTTGAAAAATTTCAAAGACGCCATTTTTAAAATTTTACAAGGTCAAAAATGGCGGAATTGTAGCATACATGTGAACATGCATAACAAACAATTATGCAAAGTTTTATGCAAATCGATGAAAATCAAGTTTTTCCTAATCGTCATTTGGTGTGGAACTGCTCAGCTTGGAAAATAAATATGGAAATGTTAAGAAGTTCAGGGAACTTCGTATAAGTTGCGGAAATTTAACTAGAACTTTGGGAAATTATTGGATATTCCCTAAGATATTCTCCCTTGACGGCCGGTTGCTCGGGATGAATTCAAAAAATCTCCAGGTAGACGAAGGTTTTAGAAAAGTTTTCTGTATATTTTTCCAAGACTAAATTAAACTGTCGTCGTTCAGATATTCTTGCAAAACGTGAAGTTAATCAGTAAGTAATCAAAGAAAACCTCCAGGTTATTGAAGATTTCAGTAAAGCCCTGTAGAAATTATTCATAATCGACATTAAGAAGAAACTGTTCCTGTCGGGGCTTGGGCTTGTTGTGTTTCGTTGCTGTTATCAACAACCATCAGTCATTTGAAGAGATATCAAGAGCACTTTCCGTCACCGCAGTGCCTCGCATGGCCAGCCGTCGAAAAACAGCAATTCAACGGCGGTGGAGATAATAAATATCAATCGCATCCTTGTTTACCTTTTCCTGGATCCCTTCCCTGCCTGTTAATAGATTGGAGCCCGTAATCTCGAGTAAGCCACGAGTATTCGGACCCCTCTTGTACTAACTCTAGTGATAAGAAACATACTAAAAAGTAAAATGAAGTTCGGCTCCGTAAAACTTCTACATTTGAGCATTGAGAAATATATGAATTTATAAAAAAATACATAGGAAGAAACTTCAAATTTTAAGAAAAAAATTTTGATTTCTACAGCAAAAATCTTCACTTGTTTGCATGAAATTTGAAAAAAAAAACAGAGGTCTTCTCCAATTTCAACACGTCTTCAAAATTCTCCACTTAACGTGAAATGTCTTTCAAGTGTTTACGGGATTAAACGTGTCTTAACAGAATTTTAAAGGTCTTCCAAATAAAGACAAATTTTAAAATTTGGCGATCCACCGGCCTTGGCTGAACTTAATCCAATTGTGGTGAGGAGCTTACCGCTAGACCACATGCGCCTTAAATTTATTTTTAAAAACGGTTAAGTATGCCAAAATCGTTATACAATGATCAAATTTTGCATGCCAAAAACTATTGAAAGTCTAACCATATGAAGGGCCAAAAACGAACGGTCGACCCGTAAGCAGAGACACTTACGCGTGATCCACGGTAAGAAGAATCTCCTTCTAATAATACAAATGTTCCAACCCGATACAGAACAAGCCATCATACGAGGGGATATCCCAAAGAGCCCACCTTCAATTCACGAAATGTTAGCAACAGGGAGTTGGAAATTCCACTCTCCCCATGCAAATCGCTTCAATCAGGCAGCTGATAGTCCCATCCCTACCCAATGAATGTATATGATAGTATGAAAAAATGTGGAACATAATACCACTCAGTAAGAAACAACGATCCCTTCGTGGTAATCGAGGATCTCAAAACCACAACACTAAAATATGTAACGGTAAAAAGGACCCAATTTTCCGATCAACCTACCTGTCGTCGATGCCACCGGTCGATGGCTTGTGGTGGACAAATTGTTGACAACATTGTAACTGTAATACTCCAGCTTCGGGCTGGTCACGGCCGGTAAGTGCGCCAAGGCTCAGCCTTCTCCTGTCACCCACGGGTAGGCAGCCGCCAAACAACCTCCTTCCCGGACCCGGAATTGGTTCGTAGAATTATGCCTTCCCTTCGTCGTTGCTTTCGTTTGAATAGAATTTTCGCAATTTCGATTTTATTCTTTTGCTTCAATCACTCTTCTTCTTCTAATTCTTCACCGCACTTGGTTGATCACTGACTTTTTTTCGACAATCGATAATTTCCAGGAAACGGTTGAGTCTGTTTCCCTAGCCAACCGTAAGAACAACCAGCACTTAATCGATCAAGAACTTTTGTGCACTCTGCAAATATTTACATCCCCTTCATTACACTCAAGTACGCAGAGTACTTCACTTCCAGCGATTCCAGCCTCTTTCCGGGAGAGAGATAGTGAATACAACTGCTCACACTTGAGCCCTTCCTGCAACGACAACAATAACAGAGACGTTGCACTTTCGAGGTGTGAACTTTTTCTCTCACTACACCGGCGATGGTGGTGGCACGGGTGGGCGGCGGTGGATCGTAGCGCATTTCTTCATTTATGTCATTTTCGCACATGTGATTAAACCGACTGTTTCTCTGCGCTGGTGATCTGGAAATGAGTGTTGGTACGTGCTTCATTTTTTTGGGACCGCGTTCACAACGATATCACACATTTATTATGGATAGAAACGGTCATCAAGCGAGGAGGTATGTGTTGATATCGATATAATGGGCCGTATAGAGAGCAATTACTGTGATTTTCTATGGTTCGGAAAAACTATCAACGTCGTTCGAGGGTGTTCAAGGTCGGATGGAGTTTAAATTATGGTCCCCCTCCCCCCCTCCGGGTTGGGTAATGTGATTATGAATAATTGAGCAAGCGACAACAGTGCTGGCTGGGAGGTGATTTCGTTTTTTTTTTCTTCAGAAATGAAAACAATGAACAACAAAGGTGTTGATCGTTTTTCAGAAAACATTCCGACGGCGTAAATGTTAGTCGATCCACGCTGCAGTTTTAGGAATTTTTGCGTTTTATGACAATTGATTGCGATAATTATAGATAGGAACGAGTAGGAACTATAGATACTATAGATTCCATAGATAAGCGGAGGCACAAAAAGTTGTTTTGGCAACCATGAAAAATAAATGATCTTACTGGCATCCGTGAAAAAAGTTCATGCAATCATAGAGCTCTTCGTTGTGCAGTTTTGTTTTGCTTCGTGCGTAAAAGTTCAAAATCGAGGAATAGTTTGCTTTATCTTTCCTTCTTCCGTTGTCCGCGAAATAAATCAGAATGTGGAGTGTGGAAAGCGTTTTGTGCTCATAATATTACAATACTTCTCCCTCAAACAACACCATGATGACGTCCGCTTATCTATGGAATCTATAGTATCTATAGTAGGAACCGGAAATCCAATATGGCGGCTTTCAGATACATAAAAACAAGGAAATACTTAGTAGAAGATGCTAATTTCAAATAACAGACTAAAGTGGTAATTTTTATACGATAGATGAGGAGATGAAAGTATAGAATTGATAGTTCCGTCCGAGTACGGCAGTATGAAAATTGCATATAGAGAGTAGAAAGCGAGCAAGGACAACTTTAGGAAGACAAATCGGTTTGATCATCTCTCTTTACCAAACTCCCCCGTTGGAGAGGGATGGTGAGGGGTAATACATACCGCAGTATATGAGTATTTTTGGAATCGGGGAAACATGTACGGACCGAAATTTCATGTCTGACACCATTTTGAAATTCAAATTGCTGGTTTCAGAAAAAAAAAACTTGGAAAAACTATCAAATACCCGACAATTTGGATATTTTGTTGATCGGGTGACGTGTAGGAACTGGAAATCTAAGTCTGGAGTTATTTTGAAATCCAAGATGGCGGCTTCCGGTTACAGAAAAACTGGGATATACTGTGAAATACCTCACAATGGGATGAGGATCGAGATGAGGTGTAGGGAACGAAATTCCATGCCTGACGCCATTTTGAAATCTTGGAAAATCTCCCATGATACCAGGTTACTCAGAAGATATTCCGAAGTTTCAGGTGATCAGAGTTCTCCATAAATTCGTCTAGATATTTGTTTAAGACATCATAATGAACAGGTATGATAATTGCCGATATCCAACTATCCGAAAATTAAAATCTCTGCTCTCATATATTCCTTTATGTCCAGGCGGCTTGGAAATTATTGCAAAGACCTTGTAATTCAGGTATTCTTTTGAAGGTTTACAACTGTCCAACAATTAAAATCAGTGGCGCCGGTGGTGTAGTGGTAAGCGCGATTAACTCTCACCCTAGCTGGCCTGGTTTTAATCCCAGTCGGCGCCGCCGGGATGTTCTGAGGTATAACATGACTGATTAGGAAACAATAAAGTCCCAAAATTATCTGGTGGAAGATTTCAGTAAAGCTCACAGGGAAGTTTTTCAATTCTTCATGTTGAACTAGTACTGAAGACCTTCAATTGATCGCAATTAAAATGAAGAATTTTAGATATTCTTTACGACTTTGCTTGTGGATTAAAACTTATTCAAAGGTTTTCCAGCTGATCGATGATTTCAGAAAAGACTATTGGATAAGTTTTCAACATTTCGTATAATTTTTATGAAGTTCGTCAAACTTTTTACATTATTTAGAATTTCCCCGAAGTACTCTGAAGTATGAAGGATTAGGTGAGCTTAACAAAGCTTCTCTGAAGTTTGTTGAACTTCCCCGAAGTAATCTGAAGTTCTCTTCTTCCCACTAAAATTTTTGCCATAAAAAATCATAGATCGGCAAATCAAAGCACTCAGAACAGATAGGGGAAATGGCTCTAATGTTGGCCTATGGATCTAAGATTGGGCCCATCGCTAAAAATATGCTATTTATCAATTTTATCTAGATGAACGCGTCATTGGGACGGTACTAATGGATATTTTTGGTCGCTATTGAAAATTTAGTCGATTGCTGAATTTATATATGGGCCCAAATTAGGGGCATTTAGGCCGACATTACATCCATTTCCGCTACCACGCTTTTTTGGCAATGCAAATCATCAAACATCAGAATGGATACCGCATTTCTTCGGTTGCAAAACCGTTGCAGACAGCGAATTGAAAGCGAATAACGTCGTCTAATTAGCAGGGTTGCTTCCACTCACTTGCTATAAAGAAATGTTTTTTTTTTTTGGAATTATGATATCATCAGATGATATAATGATATGTTGAACTTGTAAGTAACAAGAAGAGGGTGTAAATTTATAATTATATCGCATCGCAAGCTCTCAATTAATAACTGTTGAAGTGCATCCAGAACACTAAGCTGAGAGCAAGCAATAAGCTAATATGCGATAAGCAATAAGCTTGAAATGCGTGGAGGAAGGAAGGAAGATCTAATGTTTTCATAATTCGGATAAAAAAAACATATTTTTCATGCAAATGAGTGGAAGTAACCCTGCTAATTAGCATGATTTTAAAGCTTTAAAAAAACCAAAAATATCCTCAACAATGTAATAAGCCAAAACTGGCCTCACATTCGCTTAATTATCCTAGAATCACCAAAATTTCTTTAACTCACAAAAATGGCCTGGAATAGCTTTAAAATCGCCAAAAAGGCCTTAACCCGCAGGGTGGCCAGTGAATTTTCATTTTGAAATTCCCGATTTTTCCCGGTTTTCCCGGTTCAACTCTTAAAAAAATCCCGGTTGTTAATATTCAACAACGCGGAGATGAACCAGTGTCTGGCTGAAAATCTCCTTAATAAAGACAACCAACCAACCAACCATTTTCAACAAAAAGAAAAATTAAGAACGTGCTGAAAGGAATTTACTGAAAACATAAAAAAGTGATTTAAGAAGATTCACACGATTCTGGAGCTTTAAAATTTCTGTAAAGTCTGAAACTAGCACTAGAAATTTTTGATTAATAACAATCTTCGTTATGCAAGATTTGGAGTAAAAATAATTAAAATGTGAGATTTTGAAAAAAATTCAAGATCACAGATTTAAAAAAAAAATATGAGTCGTGGAGTCATAATTGTCACGCTCTGAGACTTGGAAGCATTTTAAGGGTTATAAAATATTACATAACAATCTATATAATCTGGCGGGAAAACTCTGGAATTTTTAGTAAAATTTAAAAGAATTCAAAGTGTTGATTTCAAACAAATATTGAGAAGGACTCCCACACAGTTTTCGATGGAGAAGTTTGAGCAGATTTCCATAATTATTCTGACATGAAATCCTTAGAAATTGTTAGATGAATTTCGAAGGATTTCTGTGGAGAAGAATGCAAGTTCTGAATTAAATGGTTAAGTAATTTTAGAAGATTTAAAAAGGAGTTGTGAAAAACAAAACTTTGCGGAAAATCCCTACGTGATTCTGAGGAGATTTGTATGATGTATGATTTTAAGAAGAATTTCAAGAAAATTATTATCATAACTCAACAAGAAACAGAGTTCTAAGAGTGTTCTGGCAATAATTTCAACCCTAGTGCGAAAGATTTATCACAGAACTCCAACAAAATTTATTGCAAAAAAATTTCTGATAATTAGAAAGAAATTCTGTAAAATAATCGAAAGATTTCTGCTGTTTTCAATAGAGTTAAAATATTTTTTTGTAAAGATTTTCAAAGAAATAAAAGCCTCCGTATAGGCTCAAGGGAATTCTAAGAAGGATTCTAATTATATTCTTAGAAGGGTATGCAAGGAAATTCCAAAAAGAATTAAACGGTAATTATTACGCGGAGTGTTTTTAGGTTATTTCCGAACAATTTCAAGATAATTCAGAAGTTAATTCTGGAATTGATATCATGAGAATTTTGAACAACGAAAAATTAAAACCCCGAAAAAGATTAATTCAGTTCGGTTATAACAAATATTTGTTACCAAAGTCCAGCATCTTCAAAATTTTCTATTAAGGACCATGCACTTTACATCTGAAATTGAGACGACAAAAATCAATTTCCAATATTGCTGAGTGATTAAATTCTAAAAACGATAAGACGGGACACTGAAGAAAATTATACAACAAATAGAGCAAGACATTCATTTGTTAAAAGATCACTCTGCTTTAATGGTTTATTCTGAAATTCTGGTGTAAATATTTGTTCTTATGGTATTATGGTTAATTCATTTTCCCGATTCTCTCACTGAATTCCAGGGTTTTTCCCGGTTTTTCCGGTTACTTTTCAAATTCCCGGATATTTCCCGGTATTCCCGGTTTTCCCGGTTTGCTGGCCACCTTGTAACCCCCTTATTCAGCCTGAAAACTCGTTTAATAAGCTTGAAACGCCTTAATGGTCCTTGAGATTGAGAAATGCTGCTCTCAGCACTTCTCAAACTTTTAGAACTCCAACAACTTCTGGAACACTAAAAATTCTTAGAACTAACTAAAAATCAATAACTTCCGGTTTACTGTGAATTCCTTCCACAAATGCATGTAAAGTATAACTC